GGATTACAGGGGTTAGCCACCGTGCCTGGCCATCTTTTCATTTTCTTGATGGTCTTCATTGAAGCACAAAAGATTTAGATTTTGATTAAGTTCAGTTTATCAGGCCGGGCGCGGTGGCTCAAGCCTGTAATCCCAGCACTTTGGGAGGCCGAGATGGGCAAATCACGAGGTCAGGAGATAGAGACCATCCTGGCTAACATGGTGAAACCCTGTCTCTAAGAAAAATACAGAAAGTTAGCTGGGCATGGTGACTGATGCCTGTAGTCCTAGCTACTCGAGAGGCTGAGGCAGGAGAATGGCGTAAACCCGGGAGGCAGAGCTTGCAGTGAGCTGAGATCTGGCCACTGCACTCCAGCCCGGGCAACAGAGCGAGACTCCATCTCAAAAAAAAAAAAAAGTTCATTTATATCGGGCATGGTGGCTCATGCCTGTGATCCCAACACTTTGGAGTCAGAGGTAGGAGGATCGCTTGAGCCCAGGAGTTGGAGGCTGCAGTGAGCTGCGACCAAACCACTGCACTTGAGCCTGGGCAATGGTGTCTCTAAAAAGTAAAAATAAAAAATTTTAATTTAGGCTGGGTGTGGTGGCTCACACCTGTAATCCCAGCACTTTGGGAGGCCAAGGCGGGTGGATCACCTGAGGTCAGGAGTTGGAAACCAGCCTGGTCAACATGGCAAAATGTTGTCTCTACTAAAAACATAAAATTTAGCTGGACGTGGTGACAGGTGCCTATAATCCCAGTTACTCAGGAGGCTGAGGCAGGAGAATCGCTGGAACCCAGCAGGTGGAGGTTGCAGTGAGCCAAGATCACGCCACTGCACTCCAGCCTGGGCCAGAGAGCAAGACTCCTTCTCAAACAAAAAAGTATTTAGAAATGTATTTATAAACTCTTATACCACTTATATTCACCTAATTCACTTGTTCTTAACAATTATGGTTGAACTGCTCATGAAGACTTCATGAAACATTAAACAAAACTGGCCATCATCGTGAGTTATTTTCCTTAGTGACCACAAATATCAAAAATATCACAGAAGCAAAGAAACTAGGGCCGGACGCAGTGGCTCACGCCTGTAATCCCAGCACTTTGGGAGGCCAAGGCGGGCGGATCACGAGGTCAGGAGATCGAGACCATCCTGACTAACACAGTGAAACCCATCTCTACTAAAAATACAAAAAATTAGCGGATGTGGTGGCGGAGCCTGTAGTCCCAGCTACCCGGGAGGTTGAGGCAGGAGAATGGTGTGAACCCGGGAGGCCGAGCTTGCAGTGAGCCAAGATAGTGCCACTGCACTCCAGCCTAGGGAACAGAGCAAGACTCCATCTCAAAAAAAAAGAAACTAAAAAGAAAAGCATGGTATTCTCGCTCCTCTTTCCCCTCTGCTCCTCCCCGCACCCTCCTCCTCCCACAGCTGACCTGCATTAGCAATTCATTTTTACTGTGTATTCTGCTCTTAGTTTGGGTTTATAGTTTTATGATCTTAAAGACTGAGTGGTGGTAACATAAACTTGTTTTACTACTAAGCCCAGACCAAAACAAATTATACCTGCATTGTATTTAATGCTGACAATTCTGAAGCCATTCCTTTTTTTAATGTTACCAACATTCTTAAAACTAGTTTTATTTACCAAAGATTATCCCAGATCACAAACACTTATTTTAAAAATTTGGCGCCGGGCACGGTGGCTCACGCCTGTAATCCCAGCACTTTGGGAGGCCAAGGCGGGCGGATCACGAGGTCAGGAGATCGAGACCATCCTGGCTAACACGGTGAAACCCCGTCTCTACTAAAAAATACAAAAAAATTAGCCAGGCATGGTGGTGCGGGCGCCTGTAGTCCCAGCTACTCGGCAGCTGAGGCAGGAGAATGGCATGAACCTGGGAGGCGGAGCTTGCAGTGAGCAGAGATCAGGCCACTGCACTCCAGCCTGGGTGACAAAGCGAGACTCCGTCTCAAAAAAAAAAAAAAAAATTTGGCTTAGTTTCTATATTTCTCAGATTTTAGGAATATTTTGTTTACATAAGTACTTGTTTATCTGTAAGCCAAACTGAATATAACTTTTTAAAGATATTTTATAAATTAATTTGGTAATACCATCTGAGAAAATCACGAATACATAATAAAAACACATATATACATAGAGAATACACAGATACAAAACAGATCTTACAGCTATTATTTTAGAATTTTTATTCTCAAGTCAGTAAAACATAGGTGTCTCTTCAATTTTTTTTTATTTTTTGAGACAGGGTCTCCAAGCTGGAGTTCAGTGGTGCAATCACAGCTCACGGCAGCCTCGACCTCCTGGGCTCAAGGGATCCTCCTGCCTCAGCCTCATGCGTAGCTGGGACTACAGGTGAACGCCACCACGCCCGGCTAGTTTTTTTTTTTTTGCGGGGGGTAGAGATGGGGTCTGTCTCTGCTGCCCAAGCTGGTCTTTCCTCATATTTCTCTCCAAGGTGTGTTTCTGGCCAAAATGAGACAAGTTAAGATTCCTCACTCAGATGGCTAAAGCTGTTTACTAATATTTGTGGAAAAGACTTCTAAGATTTTTTATTTGCCCAGTTTTCAATAAGTTTTCTTCCCCCCGAGGACAGTCATCTCCCTGAAGTTTGTATTTTCAAAAAGATGATTCAGGTTTTAGAAGAGACGAGGCAGAAAATTTACATCTCGAAGGGACGGAGAAAAACCTGTGTTCTCAGAAGTCAGGGACATGTTTAAGGTCAGAGGCCATCCTTGAGGAGGCCGTGGACTGGGTTTCCGGGAACCACTGGGAGAGCTCCAGGAGCCGCAGCCTAGCTCAGCCTTGCCAGCCTCAGGCAGTTGCTTCTTGGGAGCAGGAAGCCCTGAAGTCCCCACCAGGGCCCGTGTGGGAAGGGAGTTCTGGTTGGGGGAGACACGGTTGTCAGAGCCACGCAGGAAGAGGACGTGGCGGGGACTGGAGGGGGCAGACAGGAGAACAGAGCTGGCAAAAGGAGGAAGGAGGAGTGAAAGCAGATGGAGAGAAGAGGCTCAGAGGAGTGGCCATCGGAAGCTCCCATGGACGCCAGGAAGGTCCAGCAGGGAGTGGGCGGAGCTGGCGGAGCCGACGCCCCCAGGGCTTCCAAAAGAGTTTCCTGTGACCGAGAAGCTGGAGAAGCAGGAGCCAGTGAGAGGAGAGAGAGGCCTTGGGGCCGGGCACAGTGGCTCACGCCTGTGATCCCAACCCTGCTGAGGTGGGCAGATCACCTGAGGTCAGGAGTTTGAAACCAGCGTGGCCAACATGGTGAAACCCCATCTCTACTAAAAATACAAAAATTAGGCAGGTGAGGTGGCGGGTGCTTGTAATCCAGCTACTCGGGAAGCTGAGGCAGGAGAATGGCGTGAACCCAGGAGGCGGAGATTGCAGTGACCTGAGATCGCGCCTCTGCACTCCAGTTTGGGTGACAGCAAGACTGTCTCAAAACAGACAACAAACAAACAAAGATTATATATATGACCTATCAGCTTCTCATTAAGTCAACTTTTGACCAGAAAACTTTTTTTTTAAATCCTTTCAAATGTCCTATTATCCTATTTCTGCTGGAAGAAGCAATAAGTGTTATTTGTGGCAGTGCTGGACTCTTTTTTGTTCTACCTTTTTTTTTTTTTTTTTTTTTGAGACGGAGTCTCGCTCTGTTGCCAGGCTGGAGTGCAGTGGCCGGATCTCAGCTCACTGCAAGCTCCGCCTCCCGGGTTCACGCCATTCTCCTGCCTCAGTCTCCTGAGTAGCTGGGACCACAGGCGCCGCCACCACACTCGGCTAAATTTTGTATTTTTAGTAGAGACGGGGTTTCACTGTGTTAGCCAGGATGGTCTCGATCTCCTGACCTCGTGATCCGCCCGCCTCGGCCTCCCACAGTGCTGGGATTAGAGGCTTGAGCCACCGCGCCCGGCCTATTCTTCTTTTAAACAAAAAAGACTTTCAGGTGAGTCAAAACCAAAACCAATCAGCTTTTTATGACTTAATCATGGATGAAAGAGACACCTTCAAAAGCAGGTGCAAAGGAGGCAGCCCCCCAGCCCGGAACCGCCCCACAGACAGCAGAGAAGGGTCCTTCTCAGGGCAGGAGTCAGAAGTGCTTTCCAGCACTGACCCAGCAACAAAGGTGGAGGCAGGAAAAGCCCCTCGTGGATGGGGAACCTCTTGTTACAAACCCCCTAAGAGCTGGCGCCTTGGGCAGTGATGCTCGGGCTGGCGGAAACTAGGGAGAGAGTTCTCCCTGGTCACAAAGCCAGGCTCTCGAGGTACAAGACAAACAGGAAAGAAACACCTGTCCCTGGGAGGAAAGCACCTGTGGGCACCAAAACCAAATTTACACAAGAGTCGCGAGCCGTACAAATGACTTTCTCCTGCCAAGCTGAGCTGGGAAAAGCAGGGGCAAGACGTGTTTGCCTCCCACCCTCAGCCGGGTACTGCAGACAGACATCCAGAGAGCAGGCTGTGGTCGGAATCCCCTCTGACCTCGTCTGGCTTCGTGTCAGTCTCCCGGGATCTCACCTGCAGGCTCCGGAGCAGGCTGCCTGTCAGCAGCTGAGACCCGAGGCACACACGACGGAGGAACAAGAGCACACGCGTGTATAGGACGCGGGCACTCCACGTTTCACACGACGGAGGAACGAGAGCACACGCGTGTGTGGGACGCGGGCACTCCACGTTTCACACGACGGAGGAACGAGAGCACACGCGTGTGTGGGACGCGGGCACTCCACGTTTCACACGACGGAGGAACGAGAGCACACGCGTGTGTGGGACGCGGGCACTCCACGTTTGTGAACCTTTCCTGCACCCATCACCTCAGTAAACCCTAGGGTGGCGCGTGGGCCTTGACCCCAGGTGCAGGCCCTCTGCCCAGGGCCCTCCTCAGCAGGGCCCGGCTGTGCCCGCTCCACAGCCGCTCAGGTCGGGTTCTCGTAGCTGGTGAAGCTGGAAAGCCTCTCCCGAAGGGCCTTGAAGCAGGGTCTCTGCTCAGGGTCCCTGCACCAGCATGTCAGCATCAGCTTGTGCACGCTAGGCGGGCACTCCAGAGGGCAGGGCATGCGGTAGCCGGCATCCACCCTCAGGAAGGCCTCGTGGTTGGACATGCCTGCGGCCGACAGGGATGAGAAGAGCTGGGGCCCACCTGTCCACCTTCCCCAGGAAGCCATACCAGCCACCCACTGCACCTCCCTGGGGCCTTCCCCGCAGCCTCAGCGGCCGTGCCTTGGCGCCACCCAGCACACTGTCCGCTGCTAACACTTCCCTCTGGATGGGGCTCCAACGGGCAGCTCCAGGCACTGGCCTGGGTGCTCAGAGAATGGTGCAGGTGTGGAGTTCAGGCAATGGCTGGCGGCGGAGGGCCCTGCAGCCCGTGGGGGAAGCACCCGCCACCATCCCTGCTGGCCACCCAGGACCTTCCCCACTCTGTCTCCCACGCCCAGTCAGGGACACTGGGGGCAGTACCTGGGTAGGGCACCTGACCCCTGCTGAAAATCTCGTGCAGGAGAACCCCAAAGGACCATACGTCGGATTTGGTGGAGTAATGGCCTCGGGAGAGTGCTTCGGGGGCCGTCCACTTGTAGGGGATGTTGCGGTCATGGGAGAGGTAGACGTCCTCCTGCAATCAGGCTGCGCTGAGTGGGCCGCGGGGGACTGCCTGTGCCCTGCCCCCGAAGCATGACGGGCACAGCGGCCACACTGCCCCAGCACGCACGCACGGCCGCTGCAGCCAAGACCGCGCCAGGGCCTGACCACCTTCAGGAGCCCAGCTTCCCCTGGGATTCCAGGTGCATGGGGATGAGAAGGCCTGGGGTCAGGGAACTGGGAGGCTCCCAGGCCGTCAGAGGGGCCCAGGGCTGGGCCAGTGAACGAGGCAGCGGTTGCGTGGTGGGCCCTGCTGTGTGCGCCATTCGGAATGGGGTCCCCACCGGACTCACGGTGGCTTCCCACCTCCCTGCTCAGCCTGGGCTCCCGAGGGCAGAGGCCACATCCTGCTCCCAGCCGAGTCCCCAGCTCCACACACAGGAAGCCCCCGAGCCTTCCGGCCACGCCCTCCGAGGGCCCTACCTTGATGAGCCTGGCTAGCCCAAAGTCCCCAACTTTGCAGAGGGTGTTTTCCCCGACAAGGATGTTCCTGGCGGCCAGGTCCCGGTGGATGTAATTCTGAGACTCCAGGTAACACATGCCCTCAGCCACCTGCCAGGCGATGTCCAGCAGCTCCGAAACGGGCAGAAATTTCTTGTCAGAATCTGCAGAGGGGAGTGGAGCCTGGGGTCAGCTGAGCCAGCTGCGGTAGGGACGGGGTGGGGAGGCTGGGCTGTGTCTCATCTGCCTCCAGGCTCTGCGGCCTCAGAGGAGGGGCCGGGGCAAAGGGCAGCTGGCCTGGTTGAAAATTGGAACTGCAGGTCAGCCACCGCCCTTGTGGAAGGCAACTGTGTGTCAAGAACCAAGGAGCAAGCCAGGCGCAGAGGCTCACGCCTGTAATCCCAGCACTTTGGGAGGCTGAGGCGGGTGGGTCACGAGGTCAGGAGGTCGAGACCATCCTGGTGAACACGGTGAAACTCCATCTGTACTAAAAATACAAAAAATGAGCCGGGCGTGGTGGTGGCGCCTGTAGTCCCATCTACTCGGGAGGCTGAGGCAGGAGAATGGTGTGAACCTGGGAGGCGGAGCTTGCAGTGAGCCGAGACCGCGCCACTGCACTCCAGCCTGGATGATAGAGTGAGACTCCGTCTCAGGAAAAAAAAAAAAAAAAAAAGAACCAAGGAGTGGTTCCTAGTGGCCTAGCCCAGCGATTTCCTTTCTGGAAGTTTGCTGTGACGTGGGAGAAGCTCGACGCGGAAGGACCAGCAAAGAAGCTCATGACTGCGTGATGTAGGCGGCGGGAACTTGAGCAGGATAATGGCTGAGTGACAGCAGCATGCGGCCTGGTGGTGCCTGTTAACCCCCCGTTCCGTCCCGGAGGACCCTGAAGGGCGTGGGGACCGTCTGAGATGATCACGGAGCCTTTCACTCAGAGCTCAAACGTGAGTGGTGCCTCAGTGTAGCTCTCCTCAGACACACACGGCATTTTTCCTCCACCACAACGTTCCCTCCCATTCTAACATCGGAATCCAAACTGCGTCTTCACGCACGGGCATCTCAATTCCCTGGCAGTGATTGTCTTTGATTTTGGTGATAAAGGAAATAATGGAACTTAGAGACGATGAAGTCTTTGAGCCAATGTGATCTGTGTGTGTGTGTGTCTGTGTGTGTCTATGTGTGCCTGGTGTGTCCGTGTGATCTGTGTCCGTGTGATCTGTGTGTCTTGTTTGTGTGTCTGTGTGTGCATGTGTGTGCATGTGTGTCTGTGTGCATGTGTGTCTGTGTGTGTGCGTGTGTCTGTGTGTGTGCATGTGTCTCTGTGTGTGTGCGCATTTGTCTATGTGTCTGCGTGTGTGTGTCTGTGTGTGTGTGTGCGTGCAGACGTGGGGGTGTGTGTGCACTTTATTTCCTCGTGCACCCCCTCTACCTCCAGCGAGAGCCCCGGCCCGTACCACTCACCACGAAGCAGCTCCAGCAGGCTGCCCTTGACCATGAGCTCCGTGATGATGTACACAGGGTCCCCCACGGACACCACGGCGTACAGTGCCAGGATGTGTTTGTGCCGCAGCTTCTTCATGGCCTGGATCTCCGACTGCAGCGTCTGCTGGTGCAGGAGGTTGTCTGCGGGGATGGGTGGCCTTGGCGGGTGCAGCCCCTGACCCTCCCCTGGCCCCAAGGAAGAGGCCAAGGCAAGGCTCTGCCCACACACTCAGCAGCTGTGCAGAACACGGACCTCCTGCCCCCGACAGGGCACCTGGCTCCCGAGGCCACGAAATGGTGGACACAGCCGGCCCCACAAGCCCCCAGCCTGGCGTACCCATGGGGCCGTGGTGGCTCCCCAGTGTCTTCCTGTGCCTGGCCCAGACCTCTGACATGGAGGCCAGACCTCTGCTGGGGCCCAGGCAATTTCCAGGGAAGCTTTTCTTTTTGAGGCGGAGTCTCGCTCTGCCGCCCAGGCTGGAGTGCAGTGGCGCCATCTCAGCTCACTGCAAGCTCCACCTCCCGGGTTCACGCCATTCTCCTGCCTCAGCCTCCCAAGTAGCTGGGACTACAGGCGCCCGCCACCTCGCCTAGCTAATTTTTTTGTATTTTTAATAGAGACAGGGTTTCCCCATGTTGGCCAGGCTGGTCTCAAACTCCCGACCTCGTGATTCACCCACCTCGGCCTCCCAAAGTGCTGGGATTACAGGTGTGAGCCACTGTGCCGGGCCTGAAATTTTCTTTTACAATAAATGTATTTAGGTAAAAACAGGTGCAGTTGAAAGGGAACCACTCCTGCATGGGTGCTGTGGGTGCTGCGTGGGGCTCGAGGCCGGAGGTCCCTGTTGGCGGGGCGGGAGGGTGGCCCAGGGCGGGCACGGGGCCACACAGAGCCCTGACCGGGGCTCACTCACCTCGAGAAATCACCTTAATGGCCACCTGGACCCGGTCTTTCCAGAGCCCCTCGAAGACCTCCCCAAAGTAGCCGGACCCCAGCTTCCTGCAGAGCGTGAACTCCTCCCTCGGCCTCTCCCAGTCATCCCAGTGGGGCAGGGGCTCAGGCTCATGCTGGAGGGAGAGTCGGGGACACAGGGCAGGGGCTCATCCTTCAGGAACTGCCAGTCTGAAGCCAGCGCAGGGAGCCTGGATTTAGCCTCAGATTTAGGGCCACGTTCAGCTTGGGTTGGGGGTTTCTGAGTGTCTGACACGAGGCTGGACTCTCCCGGTGGCTGCCCCAAGCCCAGCACAAAACACCCGGAGAGACTGAAGCCAGGACCCTGCAGAGTGCAGCTGGCCTCTCCGAGAGTGGCCAGGCCCAGGGGTGGTCTCCTGGCCTCACCCCCAACTCAGGCAAACACCTGTGTTCTGCAGAACCACGGGTTTGCCTCCAGCCGGCCACAGCTCTGTGAGTCAGGACCCCTCCCATGCTGCCTGGCCAACCTCTCCCAGTAGGAAACGCCAGCCTGTGACCCACCAGCCTGACCCTGTACGACCAAGTCAGGGCGGAGCGGCTACCTTCCGGCATGGCGCGGCCAGCCGCAGGCCGTGGGACAGGCTCTGGGCCCTGTGGTAGTTCACAAGCTCGGACAGGCTAGGGAAGGACACCGCCTCGTTCAGGTGCAGCTGGCCCCCGGCTCGCCACCAGATCTTGTAGTGCCGCACAGCCTGCGCGTCCCGCACTGGGAGGGAGAGCGTGAGCGGTGTCACCACCCCGCTCCAACGCCTCCCTGCGCGTCCCCAGCCCTGCTGGCCACACCTGCTCAGAGCTTCTGGGTCCCCATAGTTGCTGTTGGTGCTTCCTCAGTACCCACCCCTGCGTCCCCTCCCTTGAAACAGCTCCCTCCTGCCCTGCCTGCTCTGGCCAAGCTCTCTGGCCCCTCCTGCCCCCGTGCCAGGCAGCCCATGGCCTCTGCCTGGATGGCAGCTGCCTGAAATCCCAGCCACACTGAGATCCTCAGGGGCAGGAATGGGGTTTCTTCGCGCCTCGTGCACCCCGGACTCAGGGTCTCATGCTGGACCAGGTTCCCACAGGTGCCAGGACCTCCCATGAGTGCCTCAGGCAGGGCTGGCCTGAGAAGCCCCTGCCCTCCTGGGGAGGGGCCCTGCCCCACGACTGCCCCAGGCCCCAGGGAGGAGCGGGCCAGGTGGGCGGAGGGGATGGGGGCTCCCTGGAGAGGAGCCCATGTCCCCAGTCACAGCCCAAGGGAGCCGGTTCACCACGTGGATGGGAGGACTTAGAGCAAGGAGCCCCCGCAGGCTCGGAGGCCGGCCGCACCCGACAGGACGTAGTCGGCGCCTGGCTTCTCGCTGACCCTGATCAGGAAGGTGCCGGCGGCGTTACCCTCGGCCTGCAGCCGATGCACAGCTTCTGAGCGGGAGATGCAGCCAAAGAACCACCTGCAGGGGAGGAGTAGTCTGAGCCTGCGCGGACCTGGGCCCACCCCACATGGACCCCCCGCGGGCCCCAGTCTGCCCACCTGGAACCACAGCCACCCTTGCCTGCCACCTCAAGCTCCCAGCCCTGACCACAGCTGCTATTGGGAGCTGTCGCTGACCCAGACGCCCTGAATGTCCCAAATGGCCAGGACAGGCCCCTGAGGACCCAGCGGGGGGAGGGGCAGGCTTGACCACACCCTGCCCTGAGAGGCCCGTGTCTAAGGGTCAGAGCCTAGGGTGGAGTTGGGGAGGGCACCTGAGCAGTAGGGCTGCCCAGAGCTGCCTGCACACACACCCACGTGTGACACGTACACACATGCACTCACACAGTTGCATACCCCCACACATGCGCATGGTTCATCCGCACACCTGAACACACACACACACACATGCATGCGGGCTACCCCCACACAGGCACACAGTTCACCTGCACACCGAACACACACACACGCATGTGGGCTCACTTGCCCACAGTCACACACACACACAGTCACTCACACACACTAACGCCCGGCTGCAGGGTGTGGGCCAGCCCTGGACTGTGGACTTCCAGGTGGAGCTCACAGAAGCTCCAGGTGACCTGTGCCCAGCCCTTTGTGTCTCTGACTCCCTCGGGCCACTGGAACACGGACCCCACATGAAGACCACTGCCCAGCATGGAACCCCTGGGGTCTACCCCCTCCGGGAGCACTGCCCCACTCACCCCTCCAATCACCTGGCCTCCTTCCCACTCCTCACCTGGGCGAGTTCTCAGGGCCTCAGGGTCTTTGCATCTGGGAGCTGACCAGCCTCTGGCCAGACCCTATCCCTGCACCCCTGCTCCCTAACGAGGTGGTGGGTCTGGATGTGACACAGGGGTCTCCACCATGGGCCCCTGCCCAATGGCCTCTTTACAGCCTCCCCTGCTTGTTGCTTGGGTCCCCCAGGAATTAACCCTACATAGCCCGTGATTCATGCACGCACACAGTAGGTACCCAATCAATGATGAGAAAAGCGGGATCTCAGGAGTGTGAGTCGTAGAAATCCCTCCCCCAGACCCTCCCCAGCCTGAGCTCCGAGCAGCCATGGAAGCCGAGGCCGGACCACACCAGCTGCCGTCTGGTTCCTCGCAGGGCACAACAGGCAGGAAGCTTGCCTGGCAGCCGGCCTGCTCCCCTACCTAGCTCGTGTGTCTGGTTCTGGCAGTTTGGAAACTGAGCAAGCTTCGTTCCCCCAAAGGCCCTGGAACGCCCCAACAGACCTTGTCACTGGCCACCGGACCCCCAGAAGTCCACCCTGGACCTCTGTCCTCCACCAGAGCTGTGTCCACCACCGAGCTGTGACAAGGATGAGCCCAAGGGAGGGGCCATGCCCTCTGAGCCCCCTGCTCCAACTCCTGTAGCGACAGTCCTGTGGGCACTCCCAGGTGCCAGCGCATGGGGCCTGGAGCGAGGACCAAGCGGGATGCCCAGCCTGGACTTCGGGGTACAGGAAGATGGAGCCGGGGTCCCCACCTTCCTGGGCCTCCCTGGGGCCAGCCCAGAGCCCTGTCCCTCCCTTGTGCCTAGAGGGTGGCCTGCGCCAAAGCTCCCAGGAGCTCAGGACACGCACGGTTCCGACTCCACGGTCTCCCTCTCGGCCAGGTAGCTGTGGGGCACATAGCCCTGGGCCACGGCCCCACCCGCCTCGTCCAGCAGCGTGGCCCACCACCACTGCTCCTCCTTCCTGGCCACATGGAAGACGTCCCCTGCTCGGAAGCTCAGCTCCTCGTCCGTCCGGGCCTTGAAGTCCCAGAGGCCCACATACTTGGGGCCCAGGTGAGCCTGGTCCCGGGACACCATGGCTGGCGCAGTGGCAGGACCAGGCTGTGGCCCAGCTGGAGCACCTAGGGCTGGGCGTGGCAGGCGGGCGGTCCCACTTCCTCGTGACAGGCAGGGAAGCAGGCACACCCAGCACCCACAGGCGCTCGAGAGCACCCCAGCTCCTCCTGAGGGCCCAGCCGGCCCCATGAGTCCTCACGCCCCCTGGGGCCCATCTGGGCACTTAGTGCCCCCGCCACGGGAACCTGCTGGGCAAGCAGCCACAGGGCCGGCCTGAGCACAGGAGAGGGAGGGAGGAGTACTCCCCAGCTGGGGCTTCTCGGGGGTCCAACCTGTGGACACTCAGCTTGCAGCCTGAGGGCAGGACGGTGAGGGCTGCAGGTGCCGCCTCCCAACCCTCAGAGCTGTGGGGGCACAGGTGGGGGCTTCTCTCCCCACTTCTGGAAGCTTCTCCTCCACCCGTTGGTGCCTCCCCTCACCCAGACCCAGACTCCACCCCTGAGCACGGGGCCCAATGCCAGGAGCTGCTGTGGGCGGGCATCCTGAGAGCCGCCTCATGGGCAGGCCCGCCCTCGGGTAAGGGCCAAGCGGGGAAGAGGGATTGGAGTCAGGGCGGTGACAGCTGTGTGGGTCGGCCGGGAGGACTTCCCAGAAGAGGAGGGCCCGAGGGTTTTGGGGATCCCTGGGGAGGCAGAGCCAGGGGCACCCGCAGCTGAAGAAACGGGCATTGCCTTCCTCCACACGGACGCCAGGGGGCAGGGAAGGACCGTGAGTGTGGCCTGGAGGCGCCCACAGCGCTGGGGCCCGGGGCGCAGCTCCCTCCCAGCCAGCTCCTCCAGCCTCCAGCCTCTGCCGCCTCCTGCCCAGCCCCGTGACCCTTGCTCCCTTCCAGCTCACCTCCCCTCTCCCCACCCATGCCTGAGTGAGCCCTGGCGTGACCCCCACCTGCACCCAAAGGCCGCCTGCCCCCCAGCCCCTGAGACTCAAGACACCCCCTCCCCAGGAGCCCCTGCCCGCCCCACCCTCCGCTGACCCTCCTGTGTCCACCAGGGGCTCCAACGCAGGGGCCTGGATCGGCAGCCTCAGGGGGCAGGAAGGGGTGAGGAGGGAAATTCAAAGTCTGCAAGGAATGGCAGAGAAAGTCCTAAACTCTGCGTATTTGAACTTTTATTTTTATTGCAAAGAGAAATAATGGAACCTTCCGCTCATTGTTTGGAGATTAAGAACAATAATTATTTAACAGGTTCATAGATTTCTGGGCAGCCCAGCTCAGGGCTGACCAAGGTAGGGAGGGGCAGCGGGGTGCTGGGCTGGGCAGTGTCCCTCAGGCCCTGCCAGCTCTGCCGGGGGTTGGTCGGGAGAGATGCAGGGGGAGGGGTGGAGGTGGGGCATGCCGGAGGAGGGCGCTGGGGCATCTGCCCAGGCAGCGTCCCTCAGAGCCCACCAGCTCTGCCACCACCCCGGTGTCCTCGAGCCTTGGGCCTCTGGGCCGTGAGTCTGTGTCCAGGAAGCCTCGAGTGTCCCTGAGTTCGGATGTGCAGGACGTTCAGTCTAAGCCACACCAGGAGGCAGGAACGTCCCTGGCCCCTCCCCGATATCCAGGAGCACCAAACTTGTTCAGCTGGTGGCTGGTGAGATGCCTGGGAGGGCACGGATGCCACAGACACACCTGGTCCCCTTAATCCCAGTGGCGGCCACAGAAAGCACAGAGAGCAAGGCCTTCTGTGCCACAGGAGCCCCCAGGCTGTGGCGCTGGGGACATGCCAAAATCGGAAGCTCAGCTCAAGGCCTCAGTGGGCCCAGGTACCAGAGCCAGCCCTTCCCCTAGGTTCTCCCACGCAGATGGAACTGGGCAGCTGGCCAGGGTCCCAAACGGCTCAGAGAAAGCCTCTGGCCCCCACCATCTGCAGGGGTTCTGGTTCCTGCTGCTTCCCTCTGCTTGGCCTTGTTCTTCCTGCTCACGGGCCCCAGGAAGCCCCTGCACTGCCTCCGTTCTCTGAGCCTCCGAGTGGCCTCTTCCCTCCCCGGGGCCACTGACCTTTGCACATGGGAGTCTCATCTCTTAGCTCCCTCCCGAGTCAGGCTTTGGCCTGTGGACAGTGGCCATGAGCGCATTGGCTCGGCAGGTGCAAAGCTGACCCTAACTCTAGGGAACAAGGAACTCAGTCAGGCCTGAACTTGTCTCCAAACTTTCTGTCCCCGAAAGCCTTCTGGGGCACAGCTGCCAACCTGGGCTCCCAGGAGGGTGGGGGGCAGGGTCTCCGGGGACCCCAAACAGACCCCGCTGGCCTCCTTGCTTCTGATTTCACAAAGACCTGAGCAGAAGCTTCCCTGAGCCAGACATGGGGTGAGCGAGGGCCAACCCTGCACGTCCCTGCCCCTCCTGCCTCGGTGGCCCCCGAGGACTCACACCCAGAGGCTTCCTGAGCCAGCTGCTGCCCAGCACACCACGGCATCTACCTCTGACCCCCCGGCCGACCCTGCCTGATCCTGAACAGCCAGAAGACTCCAAGTCCCCCAGGGCCCAACCTGAGGCCCCTGGAAATAGCCTCCAAGGGCAGCTCCCAGGCCACCAAGCCTCCCGGCCCCCCCTTCCTGTGCCCCCTGGAACCCGCCGAGGGAGATGGAATTGGCAGCTCAGGCAGCTCCCGCCAATGCCCTTGGGGTTCACACTGTCTGGGCAGCGTGATGTCCTGGGCTGGGGGTCTGGGCCGCACGGGGGCTTCTCCAACCTGCATTTTCTAGCCACGTGGACTCCCGTGCTCCAGCTCCTGGGTCTGCGTTTGGGGGCTGAGCCTGTGTGTGATGTGAGCCTGTGCACGTGTCTGCGTGGGTCCGTCGCAGCTTACTGAGTGCTGGGTGCATGAGTGGGTCTGTGCACAGGCTGCCAGCGTGTCTGTGAGGGGCAGGTGATGGTGCCTCCCCGTGCCTACACACCACGTACCCAGTGGGGTCAACACCATGGTCTGCCTGGGAGCCAGCACTGGTCACTTCCACAAACCCAAGCTGGGACTGGGGAGAGAACTGGGCCTTTGGCTCTTGACCCTGGGAGGGAGTCCAGGGGACCCGGACAAGAGACACGCTGGGCTCGGGTTCCCCGCCTAGAGCCTCCGAGGCTTCTCCCCACCTTCCTGTGCTGTTGTCTCTCTTGAGACGCCAGGGACACGTGTCACACTGCGCAGAGAACGTGAGCCCTCCACCGTCTGCACATGTTTGCCTGGTGCACAAACACGTGTGCACGCCAGGACCTGAGGCCCACGGCCACGTGTCTGCCTGGTGCACAAATGCATATGCACGCTGGTGCCTGAGGCCCACAGCCAGAGGCCCCTCGGTCCGGCCGACCAGCATCCCTTCGAGTGGACACCCTGCAGGGAGGAGGGGCTGGCCTGGTGGAGCCCGGAGCCCTGAGTCACGTGAGGACTCGGGGAAGGCATCTGTGGATGGCTTGCAGCTTCTCCCACAGCGTGGCGAAGGAGGGCCGTTCCTCGGGGCTGCTTCTCCAGCACTCCAGCATGAGCACGTACACCTCTGCCGGGCAGGCAGCCGGGCGCGGCAGCCGGTACCCTTGCATGATCTGCTGCAGCGTCTCGTGGTTGGTCATCCCTGGGAGGCGTGGGGCAAGAGCTGCCTTGATTCTGCCTGGGGGTCCCAATGGAGGCCTCCCATAGCCCCCTGTGTCACCTGCTTGCCCTTGGCCAGACCCTCCAATCCCCTGCTAACAGCGTCCAGGCCCGGGGCCAGTAACTCCTGGGCAGAGCCTGCCTCCTCCCTGCGGCTGCCTGGGGATGCACCTTCGTAGGGACACTGGCCATAGGTGAAAACCTCATACAGCAGGACGCCGAAGGACCAGACGTCCGACTTCTGGGAGAAGACACAATAACTGGCCGCCTCAGGTGCTGTCCACTTCACAGGGATCTTGGAGCCGCTGCTCGGGGAGTAGATGTCGTCCTGGGGGCAGGGAAGGCCCCTAGTAGGACAGGTGGACTGGGGCCCCCCTCACCCACCCCCTCGAGCAGTCAGGGGCCCAGAGCCTCCGCTGACCTTGAGCAGCCGGGCCAGGCCAAAGTCAGCCACCTTGCAAGCCAGGCCATCGTCCACAAGCACGTTCCTGGCGGCCAAGTCCCGATGCACGATGCGCTGCCCCTCCAGGTAGTTCATGCCCTCAGCCACCTGGCAGGCAAAGCCCAGGAGCGGCGGCAGACGCAGGGCCCGGCCCTCGGGGCCTGCAGGAGACAGCGCGGGGCCTTTCAGGGCGCAGGGCCAACAGCCAGAGAGGCCAGCGTCCACCCCCGTCACCTTTCCCCATGCCTCAGCCTCCTCATCTCTAAGACATGATGAGGATGGCGTGGCCGGCTAAGGCTGCAGGAAGCCCCGAGTGAGACGGGGGTGGGTGCTGTACTCACCACAGTGACCTGGCAGCCAGCCCAGGCCCCTAATAAAGACCGGGGCAGAGAAGAGCCAGAGGCTGGGCTGGGTCCACATCCCATCAAACCAAGGCTGATGACCCAGATGGGACCGCACTCCCCCAGCCCCAGCCCCGGAACCACAAGGCTCTGGCCTGGCCCAGACCTGGCCCCAGCCCTCTGTTGGCTGGAGACCAGACAGGGATGGGATCTGGAGCCGGGGCCACCTGCTCCCGGTAGAGAGGCCAGGTTCACCTCGGGACCCCGGCAGGTTCAGCTCTGCCTGGAAGGGAAGGGGCGGCTGCAGGCGCGGCCACGTGGCAGCAGGGAGGGACTCACTGCCCAGGAAGACCTGCAGGTTTCCCTTGCGCATGAGCTCCATGACGATGTACACAGGCTCCCCGCCCGAGCACACCGCGTGCAGCCGGATGAGCCGCTCGTGCCGCAGGCCCTTCAGCGTCTGGATCTCCTTGGCGAGGTCAGCGAGCTTCATGTCGGCTGCGAGACAGGGTATGGCTCCAGGATTGGCCCACGCCACGAACATCACTGCCCCAGGGCTTGAGGGTTGGACAGCGGGTGTGGGGCCCGGCCGTGGCGCAGGATTTCGGGGCCTCACCTGACTTGATGACCTTGATCGCCACGGGCAGGGAGCCCAGCCACAGGCCTTCCCACACCTCCCCAAAGTAGCCTTCACCCAGCTTCCTCCCAAGGGCAAATTCGGAGTGTGGTCGCTCCCACGCATCCTGCCGCGGGGCCTTCTGCAGGAAGCAGAAAAGCAGGGAGCTCAGTGCCCTGCCCGCTTCCCCCAGGAAGTGTGGGCAGGGAGGCTGGTCAGCATGGGCCCCTGTGCTCTGTCCCAGGCAGAGCCCCCACACCAGGCCTCCAGCGGGCACCCCCGTCCCCAGCACACACTCACCCCACCCTGGCCGGGACAAAGGGGAGTGGGTGCTGGACTTGGAGGCCCGGCCAAGCCCTGCGGGATCTCATTGCTCTGGGGGCCTAAGTGGCACCTTTGCCCCAGCCGGATATCCGTCTACACATGCTCATTACTGCTGCTGGCCGGGCTGTCATTATGAGACCAGAGAAACCAGATTGCTGCCCTGGCCCTCAGCAGGGTGGCTCACATCGGGGACAGTCCCCGGGATCCAGCAGCTCCAGCCCAGGTGCAGCATCTTGTGATCCGCATCTCCTCCCACAGCTTCCACCCCTGGGGCCTGGGGCAGCCTTGAGTGCCTTCCCCAAACTGGCCCCACCCTCCTGGCTGCTCCCTGCAGAGCCGGGCACTGCTACAGCTCTCCTCTCCTGACTCCCAGACCCCCAGGAATCCCAACAGCCCTCGGAGACACCAGCAAAGAGCAGCATGTGCAGGGGCCGCTGGGATGCCCCATGTTCCCAGGCCTGGGCAGGGGCTTTGAGACGGGGTGGGGAGGAGCACCTAGAACAGGGCCAGGCCTCAGGCCAGTGTGGGGCAGCTTGGCAGGCATAGGCCCACCTGACGCACGCAGGGCTGCAGCAGGGGGTTCTGGATCAGCTTCCAGTTGGCCTTGTAGTAGGTGAGCAGCTCCTCCAGGCCAGGAAAGAGCCGACCCTTCTGCAGGTAGAGGCTGCCGTCGGCTGCCATGGAGACCCGGTAGTGGCAGACCTTGGCCTGGGCCCGGACTAGGAAGGGTTCAGAGATGGAGACCCCTGCCTCAGCTGCCAGCTGCCCCGACCCTCCCACCCCAGAGGATGCTGGCCACAACCCACCTAAGGGGTCTGGCTCAGACCTAGCTGTGTGGAGGAGGCAGTGTGGGCAGCCACAGGCTGGGGCGGGGCAGCGAGAGGGGTCCAGGTTGGAGCTTTTCTGCTGACAGTGTGTGCAGAGTAGGCACTTAATAAATACTTGTAGAATGAATGAGTCCGTGATTCAGTGAATGAATGAAGGAATAAGGAAGGAAAGAAGGAAAAAGTGAATGAGTGAATAAGCAAATGAATGAAAGAATAAGCCAGTGAACAAATCAGTGAATAAATGAGTGAATGAGTGAATGAATGAATGAGTGAATTAGTGAGTGAGGAGTGAATGAACAAGCGAATGAGTGGATGAATGAGTGAATTAATGAGTGAGTGAGGAGTGAATGAACGATGAATGAATGAGTGAGTGAATTAGTGAGTGAGGAATGAATGAACGAGTGAATGAGTGATGTTATAAAAGAGTGAGTGGATGAATGACGGATGAATGAATGAATGAATGGGTAAGTGAGCAAATGAAGGAGGTGACCGGCATATCTGCTGTTGGGCCCTCAGTGGCGCCGGGTGTGATTCAGGACCCAGCACTGCCTAGAGACCAACTGCCCCAAGGTCAAGAGCACTGGCCTGGTGGGGGACAGAGGCAGGAGGGGCCGCCCCAGGTACCTGACAGTGAGTAGCCCCCGAGGCTGCTCTCGCTGGGCCGGATGAGGAAGGCCCCCGGTGCGTTGGGTGGGGAGAGGAGCAGCTGCTGTGCCTGGGTCCGGCTGACTCCACTGAAGAACCAGCTGAAAACAGCAGGTGCGGCGTCACCTTGCAGGCCCCTCAGCCAGTGGCCCCACATGCTCTCCTCCATGCTGGTGGCAGGGCTGAGCCCGGCGGTCCCACTGCCTCTCAGGGAGAAGGTCCACCCTGTGGCAGGGCTGGAGTCCCAGTTCGAGGTCTGCACTGCCTCAGCCCCCATCCTCCTGCTCAGCCCTGAGCGTCCTCACCTTGGCCGTGGGTTCTCTGTTAGCCCTGCTGGGCGTGACCTCCAGTTTCCTGTTCATAGTGACCGCCAGCCCCAGCCACAGGTTAACAGTCAGCCCTGGCCATAGGCCACAGGCCTCCAAACTCGGCTTCGCTGAGCCCCTGCGCGGACACGGAGCCGACGGCCTGATGAGCTGCCGGGAAGCACTGTTGGGCTGTTGGTGTGGTCGTACAGGGCCACAGGCGCCACCTGGCTGGGCACAGCCCACCTGCCTCAGGCAGTTGGTTAGGGGGGATGGCCCATGCAGAGCTCTGTCCTGAGGAGGCGGCCTAAGCCAGGCTGGGCAGGAGGTCAGGAGGGGCAGCCAATGGGCGGCTGCAGGGGGGTTGCTGGGCGAACGTTCAAAGCATCCTGTATCCTATTCTGAAGAGTTGTGCCCAGTACAGGATGGCCCCAAGCCCACTCGCCTCTGTCCACACAGACCCCCCCTCCGGAAAGCCAGGTGGAGGTGAGACCACTCTGAACATGGTGGCATGGTGGCCGGGAGCTCCCAGGCACCCACTCCTCAGATGTCCAAACACGAGGAGCCCACACGGGTGTCAGGAGAGGGGCCTGCTGGGGCTCCCCTGTCCAGGTGGGTCACCCACCAGGTCACAGCTACTCACTCCAGAGGCATCCTTGGAAGGAAGACAGAAACGCTCCCAGCCCCACCTCGACTACATGTCTCTGCTTCCGAAGGCCAAGGCAGGGACTCCACACCTGACTCAGCTTCCCACCCTGGAGCTTCCTGGGACCCAGGGAGGGATACCTGCCACTCCCCCGCCCCAGGGCACACCCTGTGAGCACCAGAAGGAGGAAGCAGAGTGAGCCGGGTGTCAGCGTGGGGCTGAAACCACCCGGGCAGCGGGACTAGGAGAGGACCCAAGGCGGGCCTCAGAGTCAACACAAGATTCGGGGCTGGGGTACAGCCATGCCACCCTGGGCACACGTGGCTGCTGGAACTGGGCAGGATGGAGGACAGTCTGGCACCCCTGCCCCGGGGACCTGGGGGGCAATGGGGGCAGCAGGAACAGAAACCGGCATGGCCAGGGCCATGGGGCTGGGCTGAGGTTGAAAGGAATGAAGATGGAGAAGAAGAGCTGTGGGACCAGGGACTGGGAGGCGGCGGCCTGAGACGCTGGCTCCATGGATGCTCTGTCAGCCAGGGCCCCTGCCTTCTGGGGTCTGCTGGCAGGGAGACACAACCCTCTCACGTGTGAAGGGACTCAGGCCCCTCCTGGCACTGCGGAGTGTGGGCATGAGACACAGGTGTTTCCCCGACACATCGCCAGCCCCTCTGACACCCATATCAGGGCTTGGGGGTCGGAGGTGGATGCTGAGATGCAGGGGATGTGCCTGAGGTCTCTCCCTGGGGCGCGGGGCCAGGTGTCTGGAGCTAATGACACCTGAGTGTGGTTAGTCTTTTAATCTCCAGCCTAGGCAAATAGTCATTAGCTTTGCCTATGGACAGCACTGCTCTACCCCAAGCCCTGCCCTCCAGGAACTGCTGAAGGGATCTGCCCTCCACACCTGCGGTGACTGTGAACCCCTTCCCATCACAATGGCTGCTTGCCCCCCAACCACTGCTCAGGGCAAGCGAGGCAGGTGTGCGGTGAGGGCCTGGGGCCTCTCAGAAGACACCTTCTTATGACTCTGGCTTCACCCACCCCATGCAACCCTCAGGACGATGTGTGAGTGCCAAGGGTCCCCCAGGAGGCTGGAAGTGGCCCTGAGCAAGGCTGACCTGGAGGTCTCCAGGGCTCAGGCCTGGCCCAGCTGGACACAGGACCAAGGAAGCTGCTCAGAGCAGCTGCACTGGGCATCTGGACTAGGTGCCTCTGCAGCTCCTGCTCACCTGCCCTCACCCAGAGCTCCTGGAACATGAGCCCCTATGTCATCTGGTGCCTCCCAGCCCCCAGCCCCTGCCCTCCAAGGAGTGACCACTCCATGAACACTGGACTCCCTGTGTGAGGGCAGGAGGGCCTGGCCAGCCAGGCAGGGTCCTGGAGGAACCGCCCGCTGGGTGCTGGGCTGGTGCAGCTGGTGTCCCCTGGACCTGACCAGGCCTGTGGAGCCTCCTCTCCCTCTTGGCAGCACACAGCAGACTCTGCTGTTTTCCTACCCTACCTGCCGGCCCGGGGCTCATCAACTGCCCCTGAATGAATGCATGGATGAACGAATGAATGAACAGATAGCCACGGACATGCGATTTCAAACTCAAAATCCTGCCGTTTTTCCAGACTCCCCAGACTAGGGCGAGGCAGGCTCTGACTCCAGGTCGAGGTACTCACGGTTGGTCTGAGAGCGTCTCGGGAGAAGCCTTGGCCACATGAGTGATGGGCACGAGCCCGGCGCTGGGCTGGCCCGAGAGCCTGCGCGCGAAGATGTAGCCGCCCCCCTCCTCGAGGGCGCAGAGCCTGTCCCCGCGGCGGACACTCAGCTCCTCCCCGCGCCGCGCCACGAAGTCGTAGAGCGCAAGAAAGAGCTGTGGGAAGGGGCTGCAGGGTTCCGCGGCGACTGCGGGCACTGGGTCGGCGCCAGGGTCCGTGGACCCGGGGGTGCCGTGGTCCGGCTCGCCGCCCGCAGGCCAGATCTTGTCCCAGAAGAAGGACAGGAAGGCCAGCCGCCTCCTGAGGAAGGGCTCCATCCCCCCGGGTCACCGCGCTGGGCCGAGGGCCATGGGAGCCCACGAGCGCGGAGGAGGAACTGGGGGGGCCGGTGGGACCCGGTGTCCAGCGCTCCCTGCACCGGGGGCGACAGGGGACCCCGGCCCTGTGGTCACTCAGAGGTCCCCTGGATCCAGGAGGCACACTGTTCCCACCGTCGTCCGGGCTGGCGTTCGGGCTGGGTGGGGCGCAGGGCGGACCCCCTGCCTCAGACACACCGACAGCCCCTCCTATTCGATCTCCTTGGCTTCTGGAGTGCAGGGTCCCCTCCCCGACCGGAGGGCAGAGGGCAGCTTCGGCGGGGGCGGGGGCGGGGGCGGGGGCTGGCTCCAGGAGGGGCCTAGGAGGGTGGGGTGGGCGGGGCCAGCCTCTTTCCTGCCCTCTGCAAGGCCCAGGCAGGCGGAGTGGCTCTGCCTACCCAAGCCCGGCCCATGCCCAAGGGCACCACAGTCCATCAGCCACCGTGCCCGCGGAGAAGTGGGGGGTCCACGGAAGGGTGCTGCTGTTCAGCACCTGCAGTGGTTGCCAAGCCTGAGCTGCCCTTAGGTGAAAAGTGCTTACTTAAATGTTGGCCAGATATTTTAACATCATTAACCCCGCACCAGGCGCTGAGCCTCCGGCCTGTACAGTGAAGGCCAACGACAGGCGAGTGAGGGGGCTCTCAGCACCCCAACTTTCATGCAGTAAAACGAGATGCTGATTGCGGGGAGCTCGGCCGCAGGCCAGGCTGGGGTGGGGTCCTGAGTGGGGGTGGGGTGGGTGCCCATCTGCAGTCTCTTGCTCCTCTCGCAGGCCTCCCCCCAGCAGCCCCTGCAGCACCTGGGTGGCCTTCATGGAGCCTCACACCCCTTTCCCACATCTCACACACATCAATGCCCACACTTCATGCGTGGGTTGAACACATCCCTCCAACAGGCATGACCAGTGTCCAGCCAATGACAAGACCCTCTCGCACCTGCCTGCCCTGGAGCCACAGATGGCCTTCTTGGCAGTCTCACGTCTGGGGACTGGTGTGTGCACTGTGGGGTGGCAGTGACACCCGTGGCCTGCCTCTCAGGGCACCCCAGCGGCCAAGCTGTGTCCAAGCTGACGGCCTGGAACCAGCAGGAGCCCTGGGAGGCTGGACATTGCCAGGCTAAAGGCAGGCTCTGCCCCAGAGAGGCGTCCTGCTGGGAGTGGGGGAGGGTGTTCAGAAATGTGGATAATTGTAAATACTAAATTGGGGGTGACCTTTGAGGGGCCCCAGCATCTTCTCCTCCCTTCCCCAGCGCCGTCTCCTCCCCTCCCCGGGCGCTGTCTCCTCCCCTCCCCGGGTGCCGTCTCCTCCCCTCCCCAGGCGCCTTCTCCTCCCATCACACATGCAGGTGGGGTTTTTGCCCACCAGTTTCTTTTCTCTTTTTTTTGAGATGGAGTCTCGCTCTGTGGCCCAGGCTGGAGTGCAGTGGCATGATCTTGGCTCACTGCAACCTCCGCCTCCCGAGTTCACACCATTCTCCTGCCTCAGCCTCCTGAGTAGCTGGAACTACAGGTGCCCGCCACTGCGCCTGGCTAGTTTTTTGTATTTTTTAGTAGAGACGGGGTTTCACCGTGTTAGCCAGGATGGTCTCGATCTCCTGACCTCGTGATCCGCCCGTCTCGGCCTCCCAAAGTGCTGGGATTACAGGCTTGAGCCACCGTGCCCGGCCCAGTTTCTTTTCTTTTATGTTTTTTTTTTGAAACAGGGTCTCACTCTGTCGCCCAGGCTGGAGTGCAGTGGCACCATCACGCCTCACTGCAGCCTCGATCTCCTGGGCTCAAGCTATCCTCCTGCCGGACTACAGGTGTGAGCCACCATGCCCAGATACATTTTTTATTATTTGTAGAGATGGGATCTCACTATGTTGCCCAGGCTGGTTTTGAACTCTTGGCCTCAAGCGATCCTCCTGTCTCCCACAGTGCTGGGACTACAGGCGTGGCCACCAGCTCTCCTAAATCCCCCCCAGAACATGACTCCTCCCTCCTAGAACACCAAGGCCGCAGAGCCCCAGGGAGGCCTCCTCAGGCCGTGGAAGGCTCCTGTGCTCACCACACTGGGGTCAGGTGTTCAGGGCACTGAATGCAGATTCCTTCCAGACACTCCCTGTCCCTTAGAGCCACGGGATCGTGGCATAGGACTCAGCACATTCCATGCCCAGCCGGAGCCAGAGGCAGGCCTGGCTGTCAGGGTTAGGGCCCCATTGGGCCTCTGCCCAGGCATGTCTCACCCCACTACCCCACCGGCCCACAGATCAGCTCCCCACGTCCGCTCCATCTCCCCCTCCTTGCACCCGCTGCCCTTGCACTGCACACATGCCATGGTGAGTGCGGTCGGCAGGCAGCCAAGGCCAGCTCCATCCAGCTCCTCCCCGGTGGTCCTCAGAATCCCCGGCCCCGCAGGCCCAGCTACCCTGTCCCACTGCCCTCCAAGCTGTGCCCGCCCATCCACCCCTTCCTCACCTCACCCACCAGGTGCAACACAGCCCAGTGTAGGGCCCCTGCCAGCTGTCCGTGTCAGCAGCTCCTTCCCTGCCTGCTGTGCCCTCACCCATGACTCACCTCCTCCCTCAGCCCTAACCGGATGGGTGGCACAGAGGGGAGTGAGGAAAGGGGCCTGGGCTGGACGGGGTCAGGAGACTCGGGCTTGGCCAGGTGAGGCGGCTCACTCCTGTAATACCAGCATTTGCGGAGGCCAAGCAGGAGGATCGCTTGAGGCCAAGGGTTCAAGACCAGCCTGGGCAACATAGTGAGACTCCCATCTCTATTTTTTAAAAAAAGAAGAGGCCGGGCACGGGCACACCTGTAATCCCAGTACTTTAGGAGGCCAAGAAGGGTGCATCACCTGAGGTCAGGAGTTCAAGACCAGCCTAGGCAACTATGGTGAAACCCCGTCTCCACTAAAATACAAAAATTAGGCATGATAGTGGGCACCTGTAATCCCAGCTACTTGGGAGGCTGAGACGGAAGAATCACTTGAATCTGGGAGATGGTGGTTGTAGTGAGCTGAGATTGTGGTGCCACTACACTCCTGCCTCGGCAGCTGAGCGAGGCTCCGTCCCCCCCCCAAAAAAAGACCAGGGCTGGAATCCTGCTGTCAGACTCACTGGCCACATGACCTTGGGCACACAGTGCTGAACCTCCCTGTGCCTCAGTTTCCCCATCTGTAAGAGCACTAAGCTTACAACAGCAGTGAGGATACAGACAGGAGGATGGGGTGCAGGCCCTTCCTAGCGTTTAGATGGAGGCTGGTGGCAGGAGCTCTGCCACTTCAGGCCACCCCCACCCACGTTTATGCGTCTGAAGGGTACAGCTCTGAGGGTCTCAGCAGTCAGGGTGCACTCTCTCCCCGATGACTGGCCCCACTATCCCCAGGCTTCACCATCCTCAGGGCCCAGGGAAGCTGTGTTCACCAGGGACAACAGACCCAAAGTGTTCACTGCCCATGCCCTGGTGGCCACAAACAGGGTTGAGCAAGACTGAGCACGAACTGGCCCCTGGTGCCCAGCAGTGAACAGGAGTGACCATTGGCTCTGCATGGAGAGGACTATGCTGAGCCCAAGAAGCCAGTCCCAAGGCTGCATACTGAAAGCCTGCACTGACAGGACCTTCTTGAAACGACCAGACAGAGCCGGAGAGATGAGTGGTTGCAGGGCTAGGAAAGGGTGGGAGGGAGCAGCGTGGCCATAAAGAACATGTCGGGGTCTCATGGGGGTGGCACTGTCCTGAGTCTGTATCGGTGTTAAGGTCCTGGCGTGACTGTGCACTGCAGTCTTGCAAGATGCTACCACTGGGGACGCTGGGTAGAGGGTAACGGGACCTCTGTGTTACTTCCTACAACTGCAGGTAAATCTACAATTATCTTAAAACTAAAAGTTTAACTTTATTATTATTATGATTTTTGAGACAGGTCTCTGTCTTACTGCACCCAGGCTGGAGTGCAGTGGCACAATCTCGGCTCACTGCAATCTCCACCTCCTGGGTTCAAGCGATTCTCCTGCCTCAGCCTCCCGAGTAGCTGGGACTACAGGCACGTGCCACCATGCCCGGCTAATTTTTGTATTGTTAGTAGAGACTGGGTCTCACTCACTATGTTGGCCAGGCTGGTCTCGAACTCCTGACCTCAGGTGATCTGCTTGCCTCAGCCTCCCAAAGTGCTGGGATTATAGGTGCGAGTCACTGCGCCCAGCCATTATTATTCTTTTTAGAGACAGGGTCTCCCTCTGTTACCAGGCTGGAGTGCAGTGGCACCATCTTGGCTCACTGCAGCCTAGTCTTCCCAGGCTCAGGTGGTCCTCCAGCCTCAGCCTTCCAAGTAGCTGAGACCACAGGTGCACACCACCACACCCAGCTAATTTTTCAAGTTATTTGTAGAGACAGGGGTCTCCCTATGTTGCCCAGGCTGGTCTCAAACTTCTGGCCTCAAGGGATCCTCTCACTTCGGCCTCTCAAAGTTCTGGGATTATGGACCTGAGCCACCCAGCCTGGCTAAAAGTTTAACTTTAAAAAATTAGATTAGAGGCTGGGCGCAGTGGCTCATGCCTGTAATCCCAGCACTTTGGGAGGCCAAGGCGGGCGGATCATGAGGTCAGGAGATAGAGACCATTCTGCCTAACACAGTGAAACCCCGTCTCTACTAAAAATACAAAAAAAAATTAGCTGGGCGTGGTGGTGGGCGCCTGTAGTCCCAGCTACTCGGGAGGCTGAGGCAGGAGAATGGCGTGAACCTGGGAGGCAGAGCTTGCAGTGAGCCAAGATCGTGCCACTCACTCCAGCCTGGGTGACAGAGCGAGACTCCGTCTCAAAAAAAAAATTAGATTAGAAATCAGAAATTGAATGAAAAGGGATAGGGTGGAACCCAGGAGAGAGCAGACATCCAGGACCTGCCTGGCCCCAGAAGAGAAGGGGAGGCTGCTCTGCCCCCACCCTGCTTCTCTGTGAGTGGGCTGCAGGGTGGGGGGTAAGGGGTCTAACTCCTACTGCTTCCCAAGCCTCTGTGTCAGACAGCACCCCCTTCTCCGAAGAGCCTGGCTTTGTCCCCTGGAGCCCTAAATAACAACAACAACAACAACAATAGCTGACATTTATTGAGTTGCAGCCCAGGCAGGGAGGGCAAGGCAGAAACAGCACCCAACAGGACTGGGCGCGGGGCTCACACCTGTAATCCTAAAGCATCAGAAAGACCCAGGTGAGAGGATCACTGGAGCCCGGGGGTGGAGGCTGCAGTGAGCAGTTGGAGACTGCAGCATGGTGACAGAGCAAGACGCTATCTCAAAAAAAAACCACCCACACCCACCCACTTCCTGCCAGGCCTAACCCCTGCGGCCTCCAAGCGCCAAAGGAAAGCTCTTCCGAGGTGGGGTCGCCGGGAGGAGGGGGAAGCTCAGGTTACAGAAGAGCCTGGGAGGGGCTCAAAGACGCCCATCCTGGAAGAGGCCCCAGCACTGACCTCCTTGGGGATGGAGATGAGGAGGATGGAAAGAGTGTCTTCCTCCAGCATCTTCCTGAAGGTGAAGGAGGGGCACCTTGGGGTGTCTGAGATTGTCACCCCCGGAGAACCCCAGGCAGCTGGGGTGTGCTGTGGGGGAAGGGGAGGATCCCAGAGGCCCTGAGCCCAATGGAACGGATACAGACGGGACCTGATGGCCTCAGAGCTCCTCTGTGGGGCTCCCTGGAGCTATGAAGACCCCATTTATCCACAGTCAGGTCGGGGCCTGAGCTTGGGCGGCCCCAGGTGGGAGACCCCTCGCCCCGTACGGAAGCAGCCCGTGGTGGGAGGAGCCTGTGGTGGGAGGGGCCGTGTGGGGTGAGCCCGTGGTGGGAGGAGCCTGCGCTGGGAGGAGCCTGTGGTGGGAGGGGCGGTTGCGGGATTGGGGGCAGCCTGAGGTGGGAGGAGTCTGAGGTGGGGGGAGCCCGTGGTGGGAGGAGCCTGTGGTGGGCGGGGCCTTGCTGGGCGGAGCCACCGCCTCCTCTGCACTGGGTGGTCCGTGTGCCGGGTCACGGGGCCCTGCCTCGCTCCCAGATTCCTCCGAGGGATTCCGAGGAGTGCACTAGGACTGGGGGGTTGAGCAGGAACCCCCTCCCAGTCACCTGAGGCTCTTGCGCCCCGCCGAAAGCCGGGGGTGCGTGGGGACGGGAACCCCACTTGGAGCCCGGCTCTTGGACCAGCCACCCGAGGTGGCCCCCAAGCCGGGGACGCGGGCCCCCAGAAGTCTGGGGCTCCCCAGGAAGCGAAGCGGATGGAAGATTCCTCGGCTCAGGGTCCTGGGTCCCCACCCCCCCACCCCCGGCCCTGGGCAGCAGCGTCACAAAAGCCCCTGGTCCCCAGGGCAACCCGCGGAGCGCGGAGGGAGGCTGGGCTCTGGGAAGTCCGCGCGCGGCTCCGCTTCGGAGGCAGGGCAAGTGGGCGCGGGTCTGGGGCGGCGGCGGGGGCTGGGGAAGGAGGGCTGGGGGTCTCAGGAAGGTAAGGGGCAGGCAGAGCGGCCGGGGAGGTGGGCCCGGGCCAGGGGAGCCTAGGGGAGTGTGGTGGAGGAGGTAGGGTGCGGGCACCTGGTGGTCTCAGGGAAGCGGGCCTGGGACCAGGAGTGTGAAGGAAGCAGCGAGGGGTTCGGAACCGCTTTCCAAGGTTCACGACCAGCCCCTCTGGGTTTTCCACCTGGGCAGCTGCTGGAGACTGGAAGACATCCCTCACTGGCACAGAGGCACGATTTCCCTCCAGTGGTGAAACCCGCCCCAGCCTCCAGCCAGAGCAGGGCTTAGGCCTGGGGTCCCGGGGTCCTGCTCTCAGCTGGCACCTCACCCTAGACACACTCCCTGCTGTCCGAGGGTCCTGTTCTCACCCCGCTGCCCCAGGAAGGTCGAGGGTGGTCCGTTTGGGCGTGAGGCAAACATGGCTGCACCTACCTGTGTGGCCTTAGGGAACTCACACAACTGCTTAGCTCTCATTTGCGGTTCATCCCAGGCCCTGGTGGCTGTGACAACCTGAGATCTCCAGGGTTGCTGGGAGCCGGGGCAGCAGCCAGGGTGCGGCTTGCTCTCAAGGGAGCTGCGGCAGAGGCTGGGGCCACAGCTGCACTCAGCCGGTGCACCCACAGACAGAGGGTCAGACTCGGCTCAGCACTGGGCTGAAACCCTGGATGAGGGCAAGAACCAAGCGTCTTAGCCTCAGGCTCCGTCTGGGAAACGGAGTGTTGCTTGTGGGGTCCGTGAGCTCACCAGGGACAGGGTCCCGGGTCCACAGGGAGGGCCCACAGTGTAGGAGGAGGGCTGCTCCTCCGGGTCCAGGCCTGGCCGCCCTCCTCCCACGCTGACTGGCCAGCTGGCGTAGCCTTTGGTGAGGCCCGTCTCTGCTCTACGACTGCGGTGAGGCGTAGAGAGTCCCCACGGAGAACCGGTGCGGGAAGATGGCCCATGAGTGTCCCTAAGGGGGGTTCTGGGCTGCTTAGGACCACGCTGTCCCCTCTCCACGGTCCTGAGGGTGCCAGCACCCCCTTTCAGTACCAGGGCTAGGAACTGGGGCCCTTGCCAGGCCACAGGTCAGGGCTGGGGTTTCTGCCCTGGCTGTTCTGGCCAGAAGTCCGCAGTCCTAGCTCTTCCCTGTCCTGTCCCGCAGGCCACCGGTTGTCAGTAGAGGTTTATGCTCCTCAGCATAAACTGTGTCCAGATCTGTAGCCTGCCCATCCAGCCCTCCGGGCAGCCTCTTCCCAGCGAGTTGTGCCCCCGAGGAAAGACAGAGGCCCAGCATGGGGGCAGTGGGCTGAATCCATCCCCTGAGCGTGCCACGGCCCAGGGGAGGCCAGCCTGCCTGGCAGTTGACACCCAGCCCTCCCCCCAGCTCCCGGATAATGAGCTCCCACATGGCAGGCCTGGGCTTAGACAAGATGAAGCTGGGCAATCCCCAGTCCTTCCTGGACCAGGAGGAGGCAGATGACCAGCAGCTGCTGGAGCCAGAGGCGTGGAGGACCTACACTGAGCGCCGCAATGCCCTGCGTGAGTTCCTGACTTCGGACCTGAGCCCGCACCTGCTCAAGCGCCACCACGCCCGCATGCAGCTGCTGCGTAAGTGCTCCTACTACATCGAGGTCCTGCCCAAGCACCTAGCCCTGGGCGACCAGAACCCGTTGGTGCTGCCCAGCGCCGTGTTCCAGCTCATCGACCCCTGGAAGTTCCAGCGCATGAAGAAGGTGGGCACAGCTCAGACCAAGATCCAGCTCCTGCTGCTCGGGGACCTGCTGGAGCAGCTGGACCATGGCCGTGCTGAGCTGGACGCCCTGCTCCAGTCGCCAGACCCACGGCCCTTCCTGGCCGACTGGGCGCTGGTGGAGCGGCGGCTGGCGGACGTGTCGGCTGTCATGGACAGCTTCCTGACCATGATGGTGCCGGGACGGCTGCACGTCAAACACCGCCTGGTGTCTGATGTCAGTGCCGCCAAGATCCCGCACATCTGGCTCATGCTGAGCACCAAGATGCCCGTCATGTTTGACAGAAAGGAGTCGGCGGCCCACCAGGACTGGGCCCGGCTGCGTTGGTTCGTCACCATCCAGCCGGCCGCCTCGGAGCAGTATGAGCTGCGCTTCAGGCTGCTGGACCCGCGGACGCAGCAGGAGTGCGCCCAGTGTGGCGTCATCCCCGTGGCTGCCTGCACCTTTGACGTCCGAAACCTGCTGCCCAACCGTTCCTACAAGTTCACCATCAAGAGGGCCGAGACCTCCACGCTGGTGTACGAGCCCTGGAGGGACAGCCTCACCCTGCAGACCAAGCCGGGGCCCCTGGAGGGGCCCACCCTCAGCCACTCTGTCCGAGAGATGATTTTCTAATATTTATCCACTAATAAAGAGGAGTGTAAATGCACATACGGAATTAAAGACACAAACCTATTTATGTTTTAAAGGCAGCAGCCACCAGTGTTTTTCCTGGCTCAAAACATGCCAAGCCCCAGGCCGGACCTCCCACGACAGCTGAACCTGGAGCAAGAAGTGCCAGCCCCTGAACCTGGGGGCCTCCTCCCATGACGAGAGCTGCTCCACAGGGCAGTCCCAGCCCCCGCCTCTCCTCGCCACACCCATCACCATGACCGAGCTCCCGCCTTCCTTACCCACCTTCCTGGCTTGGGGGCCTCCCTAAGGGGATGACACTTCTAGGCCGCTGTGCGTCCCACCACCCCAGCCCAGCCTTGAGTGCTCATTAGCACCCCCGAGGAGGCAGTGATCTCTGGCTGTGAGCAGCTCAGCTGTGCCCCTCCATGCCCCGCCCACCGTTTGTTCCTCAAGGGCCGTCCCAGCCCCGAGCTCCCTCTCTCCTCCAAGATCAGCTGCTTTTGCTAGGCGTCCAGCCTCTGCTTCCCCCCACCGCTCACCTTCAGGACTGCAGCTGCCCCTTCCTCCGAGAAGCCTTCCCTGGCTGCAGGCTGGTGAGGTCCCCAAGTCCCCTTTGCTAGAGGTGCCTTCTCATCCTCTCTGCAGGCACTTCTCAAGCTATTGCAAACTACTGTCTATTTCATGACGGCCCAAGAATAGATGTGGTCTTCAAGGCAGGGCCCATCCAGCACACCAAGGCGGCCACTGTCCTGGAGACTCCATGCTGTGCCCCTCCCTCCACGGACGCCCAGAACCTCTTTTCCCACAGTGACCATAGCCCCCACGACCATCTGACTCCCGAGCTGGCTCTGGGAGACCACGGGAGCCCCTGTGGATGCAGCCACGAATGGGCCAGGAGCAGAGGGACCCCAGCTCACAGCGGCCAGGGGGTCCTGGGGAGCAGCTTCAAAAGTGGGACCAACAGGACAGTCAGGGCTGGTGGCCTCAGGGACTTTGGACTTGGCCAGTCTGGTGACACCAGAGCAGCTCTGGAGCTGTGGCCTGTCCTCACCACACCAGGCACCGGCCCTCCTCTCCTGACACAGGCAGCCCAAGCCACCAGCCCTGCAGGGGGGGTCGCCGCCCTCCCCACGCCCCGCACCCAGCACTCTGCAGTGGGCCCTCGACGGCCTCCACGGCCACGTCCCAAAACCGCCCTCCCCACGCCCTGCGCCCAGCGCTCTGCAGTGGGCCCTCGACGGCCTCCACGGCCGCGTCCCCAGCACAGTAGCCATCCACTTTTGCCCCCCAGCCGACCTCAAAACACCCAGGAGTGAGAAGAGTTTTCAGAGTGGTTTTATCATTAAATTAATATCTAATCACATAATTCAATGATATAAAAATTGGAATGTAGAAGGTGGGGCAAGCCCCTCCCTCAGGACTGGAGGCAGCAGGAGGGGCAGAGCTGCCCTGAGGCGGCAGCGCTCGAGAAACAGATGCAGCTGAGCAGGCTGTCCCGGAACGCGGAGTCCAGGGTGGAAGCATCGCCCCGGCCCCCCCAGCCCCCCCGAGCCCACCGCGCAGCCCGCGGGAAGACTGCAGGCTTTTCACATTTCAGAGGGCAGGGTGGGGCGGGGTGGCCCTGGCTTTGGGCTGCCGTCAGCAGCCCCTGAAGGACACAGGTGGTGGTGGTGGGAAAAAGGCCCCTCTGCCAGGGGGCCTCCTTGTCCTGAGCTTAGGCTGAGGTCTCTGTTCCAGTAACAGATGCTGGTTTGTTTGTTTGTTTGTTTGTTTGTTTGAGACAGGGTCTCGCTTTGTCACCCAGGCTGGAGGGCAGTGGTGCGATCAGAGCTCGCTGCAACCTCTGCCTCCTGGATTCAAGCGATTCTCATGCCTCAGCCTCCCAAGTAGCTGGGATTACAGGTGCACGCCACCACGCCCAGCTAATTTTGTATTTTTAGTGGAGACAGGGTTTCACCATGTTGGCCAGGCTGGTCTCGAACTCCTGACCTCAGGTTATCCCCCCGCCTTGGCTTCCCAAAGTGCTGGATTACGGGCATGAGCTACCACGCCCGGCAGGATGCTGGCTTTGAGTTCATTTAAATACAGAATAAACCTGAACTCCACAGACACCATCCAGAGTGATCACAGGTGGCATCGAAAGATCAAAGGGCAGCCTCCATAGGGTTTCCTTCCTGGTTCTGAGACTTCCCAGGGACAGCAGAACTACCGTGCGCTGGTCCCAAAGAAGCCCCTTTTGGCCACCCTGAGAGGTGTCTTTGTCCCTAGATGCCCAGGAGAAGCAGGGGTGTGGGGACCGGCCCTCGCCGTTCCTCCTCCTCCAAGTCTGCCCACTTCCCACCCCAGGGAGAGCCCGAGGCCAGGAGGCAGGCTGGCCCAGGCAGGCTGATGGTGGAGGGCGATGGGGAGGTTGGGGGGCCCTGGACTTGCCCTCCCAGTCCTGGCAGCTTGCGGGTGGGGAGGGCTCTTCAGGAAGGCATAGTTGGCCTCCTGCAGACGCGCACCTGGCCGGCAGGCACGAGGCTCTGCTGAGCCTCACAGAAGTCCAGGAGGCTACGCCAGAGGGGGCAGCAGCGCAGGAGAAGGTGGTCTCCTATGAGGGTGGGAGTCAGGCGGGAGTCAGTCAGGGTCAGGTTAGAGAGGTCAGGGTCAGGCGGGAGGGGTCAGGGTCAGGCGGGAGGAGGCAGGGTCAGGCGGGAGGAGGCAGGGTCAGGCGGGAGTCAGGGTCAGGTGAGAGAGGTCAGGGTCAGGTGGGAGGGATCAGGGTCAGGCGGGAGGGGTCAGGGTCAGGCGGGAGGGGTCAGGGTCAGGCGGGAGGGGTCAGGGTCAGGCGGGAGGAGGCAGGGTCAGGCGGGAGGTGTCAGGGTCAGGCGGGAGGGGTCAGGGTCAGGCGGGAGGAGGCAGGGTCAGGCGGGAGGGGTCAGGGTCAGGCGGGAGGGGTCAGGGTCAGGCGGAGATTAAATTCCGCGCTGGTTATATACCATTAAATTCCATCATCCTCCATCATATATACAATATATACAATTGGACTGCTAGAACAGTGAGGAGCGAACTCAAACCTACAGACCATAAGAGAAGGACAGCACGAGGAGGCAAGACAGACCCTGAGGCGGCAGCCAGCTCAGAACAGTCCAAGCTAGCCACCCGCAACATTCCACACCGCACACGCGAGCAACAGCTCCGACCAAGGCAACACACCACACGCATCGCACACGCCCCACCCACACCGAACAGCCCCAGCGCGCCAGCGCGACGCCTAGCGCTTACTTTCACTTAGAGGCGAGGTGAGGGCGGGGTCGCGCTAGCTCTCTCGGACTCGCCGACCCCCGCCAAGCCCCTAGAGACGACGACAACACACGCGTGGAATGGATGAGTGGGAAAAACGGCCTCTGCCAGGGCTCTATCGTCAACTAGCAGACTTAGCTGCGGTCTTCATGTTACCAGTAACAGAACTAAGCTCAACGTATACGAGCTTTGTTTGATTCTGCCTTTGTAATATATTAGACAGGTCCTCGCCTTTGCATCAACACACCGCCGCTCGCCGCGACGCACTGGTGGCGATCACGAGACCGCTGCAACCTCTGCTACCTGGAATATCCGCGCTATCTCCATCAGCCTACGACCATCAACACGATACGCATGGGATATACAGGATGCACGCCCACCAACGACCGAAACTAATCTCTTGTATTATCTATACGATGGGCAGACCCCGAGGACTTCACCCTACGTTACGGCCAGGCTGTCTACCCTCCTGACCTCCCGGACTTACCATCCCACCCGACACTAGGCTTCCCAAAAGTGCCTGGCTTAACGGGCCTGCGCTACCCCAGCCGGCAACAGAGACAATACATAGGACATTATTGAGATTACCTCTTACAATCCAGAACTACACCATGCACTCACGCCACCTACCAGAGTGATCGACAGGTGGCATCGAAAGATCAAGGGCAGCACTCCATAGGGTTTCCTTCCTGGTTCTGAGACTTCCCAGGGACAGCAGGAACTACCGTCGCGCGCGTCCAAAGAAGCCCCTTTTGGCCACACCCTGAGGAGGTTGTCTTTGTCCTAGCACCCAGGAGAACAGGGGTGTGGGGATCCGCCCTCGCCTTCCCCTCTCCAAGTCTGCCCACGTTCCCACCCAGGAGTAGCCCGGAGGCCAGGAGGCAGGCGTGCCCAGGCAAGGCTGATGGTGGAGCGGCGACTGGGGAGGTTGGGGGGCCCCTGGACTGCCCTCCCACCTCGGCAGCTTGCGGTGGGGGGCTCTCAGGGAGGCATAGTTGGCCTCCTGCAGACGCACGCCTGGCCGGCAGCACGAGGCTGCTGCCTGAGCCTCACCAGAGTCCAGGGCAGGCTACGCAGCAGGCAGCAGCGCAGGAGAAGGTGCGGTCCGTCCTATTTGGAAGGGTGGGGAGGTCAGGCGGCGTCAGCTCGCGGTCAGGTTAGACGCGCCGTCAGGGTCAGCGGGAGGGTCGGCCAGCGGCGAGGAGCCAGGGTCAGGCGGGAGGAGGCGGTCAGGCGGGAGTCGGGTTCAGGTGGAGGAGAGGTCACGGGTCAGGTGGAGGGA